GTGAAAATAAAATCCAGCGAATATACTTTTTTTCCTATATTTCACATTAAACTCATCAAAAATCAGTGAAAATAAATTCCATATAAAACGCCCAAAAAGCATTTTCAGCAAACATTTATTCCAGCAATAATAAAGTATTTTACAGTATTTGCTTTTTTTGCTGGTAGATTTTTTTTTAATCAGGAAATACAGCAGTTATATGTAAAAATAGATAATAATATGAATATGTATATATAATTAATAAATAATAATAGCATGAGATAGTAAACTGGGATTCTGTTTCAAATGTACACAAGGCTAAACACCAATTTCAGATTTGGAATGTACCAGTAAACAGAGACTGTTCACTCAATACAACTGACAGGGCATACCGTAGTCTAGATCATCAAATCACCCAGTTTGACATAATGAGATGTAACAATGAAAAGATGGTGCAGGCAGAAAACAGGATGCCAAACAATGTTGTGTCGACAACGCTATGTCCGATCAATATTTAATGATATATATTACAAATGACAGAAATGATATTATAGTAATTGACATTACCGTATTTTGATCTATCCAGCAATTTTGAGTTACAGGGTTGCATCGTTAACTAAAGCGCACTTATGACAGAATTGGGCGGGGGTAGGGGGTGGGGGGTGGGAGTATCACCAGTGGTTTCTGAGCCTGTTTGTGCAAATTTATCATCAGTTGAATATACATGGCTCATGTGTTATCCCTACAAATGTACGGATGTAAAGCAAATAATTCTATTTTATCTATCTTTATTGAATCAGGCAGATATAGCCACCCCTCCACCCCAATGCATGACACGTGTCTACTGAATTAAAGCGCAACTCTAATATTAATACATGTAGAAGTGCATGTGTGCCAAAGACATTTGTGTTACTGGGGGTTTTGAGGACAGCAAACAAATACCATAGCAGCTCATTTCCGTTAGCAATTTGAATAGAGTAAATATTGTAACCTTACAGTCATATATTACAGTGAGACATGTACAAACACCATATACGAGGTAGAGAATTGTTCAGTGTCCTCATGGGATGTGGAAAATAATGTACAATTAAGACAGATTTCTACTTTACATGGGGGTTCTACTGTTTAACCATTACTGTTATCTCATACCTTGCTATAGCTGAAATAGTAAGGAAAGAAAATCCATCTCCCAAGGTAATTTAATATACTGTAAAGTAACAGAGTTTGATAAGCAATGATGTACAAGAGTACTCAGTATTCCGGAATGGCCCATGTCAGACTCCAGACTAGTTCTTATGACTCATTCCATCATTAGCAATAAGATCAATCAAGAGAACATGTCTTCAGACACACAAAGGTCTGTGTCAGCTCTACTGTTGTCTATCAATTCCCCAAGAAATACAACAAGACTGTGGTGAATCAAGCGAGAATGGTGAACATCTACAAGAAAGTAATTCCCTAAGCAGCCCCTATCCGTACATCTGCTAATAGTGTTCCCAATTCTCCAGAAAATCAACACAGATAATTCTCACATCAATCAATTATTCATCATTTGAAATGTATGATATTTCGGGAAAATGCCAATTTTCTTTTCAATGAATATTTTATGATCTCCATATCAAGCAATGTTTTTTAATTTGATATGGAGGGTAACATTAAACACGGTCAGATTAAGCAATAAGGTCATTTCGGAAAAATAATTAAATGATTAAAAATAGTGAATATGATTGCATAAATCTTTTAATTTTCAACGCAATTAATTTCTATGATTTGATAATTTGACAGTATTTATGTGACTTGCTGTTATATATTCAAACAAAATTCTCTTCCAGACTTGCATTTCTAGCCATTGATTGACTGCTTCAATATTTGCTATATTTTCTTTGAGGTTTCTAAGTTTTGTATATCATTTTAAAAGACAGAGTTTAATGTATAAACTTTCAGACAAAAATCACATAATTTTTTTTTTCCAGGCCAAAATTAACAAATTATACAGAATTGATCGTTTGCCGGAAACACAGTAAACCACTTTAATTTTAAGCCACAGTGATTTTTACAAAATCTTGGCAACATAAAACCTGGAATTATTTAATTAGAAACATTTCTAGCAATGAAAGTTTAGTAACACGTTCAAACATTCAGATTTAACCTTTTCACCACCAGACTTTCTCACCAAAATATTTCTCCACTTGTTTCCACAATATTTCTAGAAATGAACCCTAATTTTGAAGCCAAAAGACAAAATTTGAGTCAATTTTCAGTTTTTACTCAAAATTTTGGCTATTTTTGGCCCAAGAAAAGTGCAAACTTACTATAAACAGGAATATTTTGTGAATTTTGTAATGAAAAGAGAGAACTGGTAGTGAAAAGGTTAAAATCAAAATTTTGATTTTGAAAAATGGTGTAATGTTGTGAGAGTAATTACAGAAATAAGGTCACCAAGGATATCCACAGCCAGCAGGTGGTGATTCCATTATAAAGCTAGGTATAGGTTATACAATCCTGCACAGCTCATGTCAAAATAATGAGTGTAATTTATGGTTAAATGGCTGCATTATTTATAGTAACTGTAACAAGAATCAGAACTCAAGTATTAAATACATATATATGTAGTATCGGTAGATATAATGCTTAAAAAAACAATATTTCATTAATTTCCTACACATTTAATTTACAATTATTGTAAATTAATAGTTTTATTTATTTTATTAATTTTTTTGAAACACCAATGTCAACGTTATTATGAACGACAATAATGCAGCAGTCATTTGCATAACAGCCTGGTATGATTAAGGTCTAGACTCTGGCATGGTGTTGGTGATGTGTGCGCGCACATGTAGAGATGGGATATTTGTGGAAATGGTGCATACGGACCAACAGTTGAATTCAGCAAAGTATTGAAAATGTACTAACTTTAAAACTGTACTCTGCAGATGATTTATTCGGGATCCAAAGCAGCACAGTGACAGTTGAGTTATTTGAGAAATCAAGTGGAAATAATTTTAAGCATTCTAGGGAGTACAACAGAAATCCATTGAGGTTATTTGTTTTGGTGTCTATAATAAATGGGGGTGAAATCTTGAGGTGTTAGTTGAACCACGCCCACAAACTAACGATTCATCAAAATTGCATGAGTGAACAGTCTGTGTTGAAAGTTTGTTTGCCAAATTAGTGCTGGGTCACAGTTATTAGTTTTGGATACAAATTTAAAGGCCTCCAACAAGAGCTGCGGGCAGGACATAGCACAGATGTGGTTGCACAAATTCTTGGCGATACCTACTTTCCAGTAATGCTCAACAACTTTATTTATGTGATCTTCACTCAAGAGAGATTTCCATTTTCTGTTGGTTACATTTCAATAAATGACAAAAGATTATTACAAATTTGATATCTTCATTTTTTTCCTTTTGCCCTATAGTTTAGGTAGGTTTTCAAAGAAACTTGACACATACAAGCATATCCGAGTCGTCATTAAAAATTTGGCAAACGATTAGTAATATAGTATTCATAGTCAAATTTTCAATGCAACATTCTCCTAATACAAAAACGCAGATATTCTGGATCCTTTGTCAAAGATGAGTGAATACAGACTAATGATGTAATAACTGCCTTTGTTTTCTAGTTTATGAGGCATATTTTCTGAAACTAAGTTCTTCAGAAATAACCTGTGACTACTTTAACATAATTATTAGCTGTTTTTTATGTTTGCTCATTTCGCTGACAGTTGAATATGCAGAATTAAAACACTGTGAGCATTCAAATTAAACGAAGGAATGTGATGCTTACATCACAACCAGTGAATATCGCTGCAACATCAAAACCACAAAGATTTAACCCAGTAAATATTTTCTTTTTTCCAGTCATTTACAAGTGGTGTGAAATTGACAAAACTTGGATGTGATCTCAGATAATCACTGAATTACACAAAATTTGAACCATGTGAAAGCAAATTATCAATTTATGAAAAATTTACAATATTATTTTCATTATCAATTGATGCAAAAAACCGACAAGAAACGTCAAATTTATTTAACTGCAGAGAACTGCATATCACAGCCTCACAAACAACTTAAAATGATGATAAATGTGCCACCTTTATAGCAATGGACTCCATTGTTGTCAGTCAACTGGTCTAAATATGCTAAGTGGGTCAGTCAACTGTACCTAGGTACCGGTATTCACTAAAAGTAATTTTTAATCTCTTCAAAAATAAATCCAAAACATTGGTAAAGATAATAAACTACAAATACAATTTAATTCAGCTACACCACATATTTGTACATCTATGATTGATGCAACTTAAGTTTCAAAAAATTGATTTTGAGCTTTTTTTCAATCTACCGAAAACAACTTTCATCAAAATCACAACCAAATCTAATACCTCAATTTCAGTGCAGTGGGCTTTTACAACTACATAAAAAAACAGCTTAAGAAACACAGAAATGGTTACTCAAGCAGAAATATTTAATGAGATCTCAATAAAATAGTCATTGTGTTTATATAGCTATTTTGTAGCAAAGCTTTCACTGTAATAAGCACTGATACATTGGTATTCAAACTATGTCAGTTCTAAATAGACATGTAAATGAGATTACAAGAAACCAGATATAGCCTTCATGGGACTGCACACTGGGTCAGGGTTACATATATAGCTGCTTAAAATGATAAACATCTTCTCTGTTTTAATGATTCACAACAACTATCCATTCTTGAAAACACTGGTGTACTAGTATATGGTTCTGTGGGAGTGTTCGAATCAATGAGAAAACCCACATGAGACGTAGGAAGTGATACAGACGTTTTCAGTTTCAGTTAATTCAATTTAAAAACTTTTAAGTACCATATTGGGAAATGGCGGGCATGCCAGACAGTGTAATCATCACTGTATGTTGTTAAATTGTTGTGTTTGCCTAAAGAGGTTACTAGAAGGCAGCTATTTTCATCCACCATACAGACTGCATGACTATAGTTCAGCTACAGGTGAAAGAAGTTACAGAAATCTGGTCTTTTAAAGGAAATATGAAATCATAGGGTTGCATAGCTGACATATTGATGTTATTTGAGGTAAAGACAATAAACCATCTCATCACACCTCCAATTCTTTTCATGGCCCTGAATCGTAGTCACTATTTTCTTTTTAACAAAGCATTTCTGAACTTCAGAATTTGCACCGACAGATGTTTTTTTCTTTAAAATTTATTATAATTATAGTTGCATTTTTAATTGATCCAGTTTGTATATTATAAAAGAATGCAAATTTATATACTTATTAAATGCTTCAGACGCTGACCTTATAATAGATTCTGCAAACTAAGTATTTTCCATTTTTAATGTTGTTGATTTTATTTATTTATTTTATTTATTTATTTATTTATTTATTTAGCAACCATACTAATGTTTAACTTTGATATGGTGTTGTGTCAATATTTTATTTGGATGAAATATGGATTATATGACCAACAATTTTAGTTAGGTTCAAAATAAATAAGAGTAGAAAAATTGACATCATCAACTACGACGTTCAACGTTTGTTTTTATCCGATCTGTTCACTGAACATACCATAATACTTGCTTCACATTCCAGCACCACCACATTGCTAGTACTGGCAAA